TTACTTACTTACTTACTTACTTACTTACTTACTTACTTACTTACTTACTTACTTACTTACTTACTTACTTACTTACTTACTTACTTAGGAGAGCTGGACACCCCCTCCTCACCCCAGCATGATTCAGCAGCAGCCTGAGGCTAAGTGGCAAACACTTAACATATACTAAATGGAAAGCTGACTAGCAGCAATTAGGACTATTCACACAACAATAAGGCTATCACACACAACAATAAAGCCATTAAACACCTTTCAGGCAGGATTAGGAAGGAAATTTACCCAACAAAAGCCACTGACTAGCAAATCAGAAAAGACAAGTTTTGGAAACCACGAAAGGGTATAAAAGCCCATGTTTTAGGACCATTCTGCCTAGCTAGCCAGGGATTCAAGCTGAACTGTCACTTAAATTTTGATCCTCGAGATTAAACCTCTCTTTCCGGTAGCTGGCTTCATGACCTATTTATTCCGCGTTGCGCCGTCAAGGAAAATCCCGGCTGGAAGAACCGTAAGGGGAAATTCCTCTCAACACTTACTTACTTACGAGAGACGGAATGGGTGCCTACAACAAAAAACCGACTAGTATAGTATCAGTACTCTAATCTTGACAATAAGTATTTGGAATGGACCAGAAAAGCTGTTCACTGATGGGAACGTTATTAGCTCCCCTGTAAATCCTTGCTTGATCTTGCCTCCTAATCCAAGGGCCTCAAATAGCTTCAAGTCTAAAGTATTTAATGTTTCTGCAATAAGCAGTCTTCCAGAACACTTAAATATTTAAAATCAGTATAGTTTTTATTTTAATGCTGGAATTCAGTTTCTCTAAGCAAATTTATTATTAGTTTACCCCAAACCTTTAAGCCTTGAACATTTTTCATAGATTGTTGATAAATGATAAATAAGAAAGCTGCTCCTTCAGTATTTAGGAAAAAGAATTACAAATGATTAAGGAAAATGAAAACATTTCTGTCCTATCTAGCTCAGTTAAGAACTATTGTTTTATTAATTGCTGATAGTTTGGTATTTATTCTATCAATAATTAATAAAATGGTAGTCTTGAAATGAGTCAGGATAGAAATATTTTTGCATAAGATGATGTCTGATGGAGATGCCTCTAGATGGAGGAGAGGCAACTAATCTGCCAATTGATGTGATTGAATAATTGGGGGGGGGGGGTTGGTGTTTTTTTTTTCTCTCCTTCAACTGCAGCCTAGTGGAATTGCCCAAACTGGACATCCTATTGATTTTTGTTTTAATGTGATTGAATAATTGGGTGTGTGTGTGTGTGTGTGTGTTTTTCTCTCTCCTTCATCTGCAGCCTAGTGGAATTGCCCAAACTGGACATCCTATTGATTTTTGTTTTAAAAGTTAAGAACCTAATTGGCAAAGTAGCATATTATTGCCTTAATCTTTTCTGTTACCATTGGTAATATTTATTTACCTGACTTGTATGCCATAAATTAGAATAATTCAAGGTGACTTAACATAAAACTCAGCAAAATCATCACAATGCAAAAGATACAAAAATTAAATGAGTCAGTGGGAAGTATTCTCTTCATCCTGAGCTTTACTCAAATTAGTCTTATTGAAATATGTGAATTGTATTTGTACTGATGGTGTTGTTTTTGTTGGTGATATTTTTATCTCTGCAGTTGATTGTCTATTTGTTTTCCTTGTTTTCTGTTTTTTAAAATTGTTAGCTGCCCAGAGTCACGTGTTAGAGACAGGCAACATGTACATTGAATAAATAAATACAAGCTTTAGTATCACTGGGCTGTATTCCAAATAACTTGGCTGATGACCTATTCAAAAAGTCAGGTTTATACAAATAGTCCTCGACTTATGACCACAATTGGGACCAGAATTTCTATTATAAGTTGTAGTCGTAAGTTGAATTGGATCTGATTTTACAACAGTTTCTTTTGCTGTCATTAAGTGAATCACTGGCAATCAAATCCAGGTTCCCAATGGGTGTTTTTTGATGCAAAAAAAGGAAAAGGAAATTGTGATCATGTGACTGCAGGATGCTGCAACTCGTAATAAATGCAAGCTGGTTGTAGTCACGTGACTGCAGTGTTGTGATGGTCATATGTCACCTTTTCCAAGGCTGTTGTAACTTTGAACCATCATTAAACAGTCATAAGTCGAGAATTACCTGTACTACTTTGTAAAAAATACAGATAGGACCAAATGGCTCTCTGGGAAATAGTATTCTAGAGTACATGAATGTCAAAGAGAGGACATTCTCTGGGCATCACAAGATGACATTGCTTAAATGAAGGGATTCAGGGATACCCATCCTATGAGATCATTTAAGACAAGCGGAGAAAGATTATCTTATAAGACCTTGAATCATGAAGGACTTGATAGATGAAAACCAGCCCAATGAATTGCATCCAGAAACTCATTTATATCCAGTGGAGCTCACTGGATATAACACAGTCACTATGAAACACAAAGCAAAATTGTCACATAGATATATTGAGATTATTGATTATTGATTATGAGGCCACATTCTGGATCTGCTGAAGCTTCAGAATGAACTTCAATGGTAGCTCTGTATACAGCATGTTGCAGTTATCTAAGAAAGGGATACCTAGTGACCATGAGCAGTCCAGGAAAGGGCACAGTAGCACATAGGACAAGACCATCCTGGCCCTGGCTGCCATTGAATGGGATACTATCTAATGGGATTGTGGCAGTCTGAAATTATTTGCCAGATTTATCTATAGCTTTTTACTACTTGGGTTTTAAATGGTCAACAATTAAAACGAAATAAAACATTAAAAATCAAATGCTAATCATTAGTATACTAAAGGAAGATATTGAGATACTGGAGTTAGCAGAGCAAAATTCATAATGCAGTTTTGAAGTGGCAACTTGGAAGTTCCTGCTTCTTGTGGAGTGAGTTTAAATTTGGAGCAGGTTTCCCAACGTATCTCAGACTAGTATAGTGCTCATATGAAAGTAAATAATTTGCATTTAAGATGTAATATCTTTTGTCTTTCTAGGTGAAAATTTGGCAAATTCATCATGATTCTTCAACAGCTCTTTAGATTTTCTTCCATATTCCGTTCAGCCCTATCAGTCCAGTTGCATAGAAATATTGGCTTTTCTGCCATTGCATTTAATAAAGCAAAGGAACTTGATCCTGTACAGAAGCTCTTCTTGGACAAGATTAGAGACTATAGGACCAAGAGCCAGTAAGTTAATTACCAGTTCATTTATATGAACAACCCTACTTTTACTACTCACGCTTCCTGCAAGTTATTTTATAGTATTTAAATGTCGGCTGTATGAGTTTAATATGGGATAATATAAAGATTTCTTTTTATTGGTTACTATTTTTATTTGATGAAACCCATGGATTGAAAGATCCTGGGATTATGGATTTAATTTTATATAAGTTATATATGAGTTCTATAATACGCTTCAAGTTATTTTCCATCTATTGCCCTGAATGACATAATGCATAGCATCCCTCTATGACCTCCCACCCAGAGAGTCTGAGACTAATAAATGATTTGAAAAATAGAAAATCTCCTAGATCGTTACCTTAATAAATGAACAAAGGTGTTTTTGACTCTTGTTTAATTGGGTTCTCGCTGTCTAATTTTAGGATTTGTGTGTAGAACAGATTGCATTTTAAATACCATCTATATCCCAATGCTGTACAATGCNAAGGTGTGAAGTAAATATTACAGCTGACCTCTGCTGTTACAGCCTTTCTATACACTCTTTGCTACTTCTAGGCCTAAGATTTGCCAAAGTGTCTTTGATGTTGGTCTTCAGACAGATGAGCACTATAAGCAACTTACAAGGGTGGGTTCTTTCCTGGAAACCTTCAGACCTGCAAACCATCTGTCAAACCTGGTTTGCTCAACGTACTCTACAGCTTTCTTTTTTACCTGCTTTAGTGCTCTATCCTCAGCAGTATTGAATGGGTTTCATAAAATTCCATTTAATGAGAGAAATTGTCTCCACGGCAAGAATCAGCCTAATCTTAGTGCACATAGTTCTTTATCCCTTTTAGGGGAATGTATGTCTTAGAACAGGGGTCCCCAACCCCCGGTCAGTGGACCAGTACCGGTCCATGGCATGCTAGCAACTGGTCCGCACAAACAAGCAAAGCCCCATCCACGAGATGCAGGCAGCAAACAAAACCACGTCCCCTCCAGTCTGCAGAAAAACCTCTCTCCACGGAACCGGTCCCTGGTGCCCAAAAGGTTGGGGACCTCTGTCTTAGAATATCTGTACTACCTCCTAGCAGAGATCAGTAAGAAGGAGGTGTCTGTTTTCTAATTCTCAAACCAGAATCCTGCTTCTATGAACAGAGTTCTTATGTAGTATTATAATTGTTACCAGCAGTTATTGTCACAAGAAGGCTTAAGATATCCTAATCTTGGAACAATGTTACAAGAAGTCCTTTTCTTCTCTTGCCTAACTTTTATCAATTTTGTTTTGCTTTATTATATTTTGTTCTTTTTTGTTTAATTCTTATATGTAAATTTTAACTGGCAGGACTGTATGCTTTTATTGTTCTTATTGTATTTGAGCCTGTTTTTATATGTTGCTTTGGATTATACAGTAGATATACAAAGTCTACATGACCCTGTTGAAATGCCAGGTTTTTGAGATTAAAAAAAAAATCAGACCAGGATATATCACTTCAGAATTTTTTCTATCGTTATTATAAGAGTCCAGATCTGAATCCAATTGAAAATTTGGGAGGTGACCTGAAGAGGGCTGTGCACAGGAAATGCCCTTGCAATCTGGCAGATTTTGAGCACTTTTTCAAAGGAGAATGGGCAAAGATTCCCAAGGCAAGATATGCCATGCTGATAGGCTGCTACCCCAAAAGACTGAATGCAGACCTAAAATAAAGTGCTTCAGTAAAGTATACAGATGTGCACACCTATGCAACCACATTGTAAGTTTTTTTTATTATTCTCCCCCTAAAAGATTTCAGTTTGTTTTTCAATTGAATTGTACAGCTTATATGTTATATTAAAGGTGAAAAAAATCTGAAGTGATTTATCTTGGTCTGATTTTTTTACATTTCTAACATTTAACGGAGGTGTAGACTTCCTATACCCAATATAGTTACTTTGTTGGTCATTGACCACAAATGAAAAAAATATTTTAAATACATTTGTTTTACAATATGATTTTCAAGGTCTGTAATAGCAGCATCAACAAATTTCCTCTTTCCAATGAATTTTCATAACATTTTTTGCCCAATGCAAAAAATGCAGCAGGATTTTTAGGAGAGACAGTTAATCAGGCAACTTATATCAGTCCCTGTCATCAGTCAGTTCTCTAATGTTATTAGTAACAAAGAAACAGAAATCTTTCCCAGTCACCCTATCATAATTATATCTGTGTATGGCCATGTTGTTCAGTAATAAGCTGCCAACAAAGATGCCCATTCTACTATATAACAACTATATTAAGACTGCACAAAAACACATAAATAGAAAATAGAATGGCAAAAAACACTGGTGAATTAATATATGATGGTGCATATGCTATTAACGCACTTCCTGAAGAAAGGATAAATCCTGGGATTCTCCATGCACAACATACTAATGGACTGCCTCAACAATGGTAGCAGGAACAACTGAGCAGGAAATACTAGGTTTAATGTCAGCTTGTATGTTATCTTTACCCCCAAATAGTGTTGAATACAACGCTGTAGTCAGGTTATACCTTCTATAATGTTTCTAGCATCAACTGCAAGCTTTGTCAACTAGTAAACAATTCATTGTAGCTTAGATTTATTTTCTCTTAACCTACGCTTTAAAGTTACTAATTTTCCTCCAAGAAGCTTTCTTCCCTAATGTTATCTTTCATTTTCAGGCAAATTGAGTAGGTTCTGGGTATCTGCAGCAAATGAAGCAGGTTATCCATTCAAAAAAAGCGTCTCTTTCACAATATGTTGCTCTATGATGGACATGGCTACTCCAAAAATGCCATGTAATAAAAGACAAACTAGTAAAGGATACTCTCTGCCAGTGTACTTTCTGTCAGGTTCCCATTTTTTGGAATAGATGCGTATAACTGTATAGATGCATATATTTTCAAAAAGATCGGTAGCCACCCAGTGTTGTCTAAGAATAAAATGGAGAGTGATAGAGGCTTCAGGTTTTTTTGGAAGCATGCTGTTTTAAAATTAATACTGGGGAGCAGGGAATCTGGTATATTCCAAAGCAGGCCTGGGCATTTTATGGCCTGCAGGCCACATCTGGCTCTTTGACTGTACTTTTCCAACCTGAAGCAAGAAGGGTCCCTCCACAACAGGCCTAGTTTCTTATGTGGCCCCCTTGGGGAAATTATTGTATATATTTGCTCCTAAGAAATGTGTGTAGGCACACTGATTCTGATAGGTGCCTAAGATGTCAATGGGAGACAAGTTGGAAACCCTATATACTCTAGGCCAGTATATGTCTGGTCTGAGATTGTTCTGCAAGTATATTGGTGGCGAGAATTCAATTTAGAATTTCCTGATTAGTCAATTTGTTAATGACATTTTCCTATGGTTTTCTTCTCATAATTTAGCGGTTATGTAGCAAATGATCTAAAAGCTATTATGAATATATTTATGCATTATAAATCTGGTAATCAGTTGTCATTCTGTTAGTTCTTGAATAAATTGTAGATTCCCCAAAAAATTAATTTGGAATTCTCATACATGGATCTTTTAAAAAAGATGTTACCAGTTTTTTGTATTCCTTTGGAAAAAAATAAAACCAGTTATTGTATTTTTAGAAAAACTGCTGGTCCTGTTGATGTTGGTCCAGAATATGAGAAAGAGCTGAATGATCAGACTGAGAAACTCGTACGATTATATGGTGGAGGAGACATGACCAAATTTCCAGAGTTCAAATTTGAAGGTAAGATTTTAGAAATGTGCCCATTACAGGTAGTCCTTGATTTACAATTATTTGTTTAGTAACTGTTTGAAGTTAAAATAGCACTGAAAAAAATCCCTTAAGATCAGTCATCACACTTATGACTTTGCAGCATCCCCATGGTCATGTGATCAAAATTTGGGCACTTATAACCGGCATGTATTTACAACAGTTGCAGCATCCTGGGGTCATGTAGTTGCTATTTGTGACCTTCCCAGATGGCTTCCAACAAGTAAGGTCAATGGGGAAAGCTGGATTTGCTTAACATCCATGTGATTCACTTAACTGCAGTGATTCACTTAACCAAAGCAAAAAAGATTATAAAATCAGGCATGACTCATTTAACACTGCCTTGCTTAGCAACAGAAATTCTGTTGCTCATTGTGCTTGTAAATCAAGGATTACCTGTATATAATATGCTTAAAGGCGATAAAACCGAAGTTATAGTTTACTGATGGTTACAATATAATTATAGGCAATAGATCACATGCAGCATTTCTGATTTAGAGGCAAAAATGTGCTTCAGGGTGCAAGCACTTTTTGGCTACTACTTAAAGCACCTGTACCTCTTCCTATATTACACATGGTTTCTTCCTTCCATGTTTGCTACATGATCCCATCAAAAGATGTCTTCTTAGGGCTGAGAGAGAAAGTAACTGGCCCAAAGTTACCCAGCTGGCTTCGTGCCTAAGGCAGGGCTAGAACTCATAGTCTCCTGGGTTCTAGTCTGGTGCCTTAACCATTACACCAAACTGGCTCCTCTACACAGACTTAGCAGGCAGTAATTAATACATTTGAATTCTATTCGTAGTTTAGTGGTTCTAAACAACCACGGTTCTGAATTGTTTTCAAAACAACTCAATTACCAGATTGTAATTTCAATACATTTATGAAACATATTTCCAAATGTTAGTATAAAATAAAGTTGTAGAAACTCATGTTTTCATATTCTTAGCATAATTATCATCTATTCCATTTCCAACAATGTCTATACACAATCATACTTGGCATCTTTGTGTTAATTTTTATATCAGCTACAATCAATGTAAGGTTTTGTAGTTTGTTATGATTGTTAATGGAACTTCCTAAAATTCCTTTGTTATTTCAAGTTGCAGCTTGATTAAGAAATAACTCAGCAAGCTTTATTTTTGCATAATTCAGTTTCAGTGATTCATACCTCTAGTACAGGGGTGTTAAACTCGCAATGTCACGTGACGTGTCGCGACGTATCGCGACTTTTTTGCCATTGGCGGCAATGGGGTGTGCACAGTTTCGCTATGATGCAGTTTGACACCCCTGCTCTAGTATGAAAAAAAAGTGGAATCCAATGTTGCTTTTTGATGATTACTTGAACATTTTTATGCCATGGTATATCACAAGCAAATGCTGCATTTATTTGCTCTTATCTGAAAAAAAATGTGTTGAACTAAGGCATTTCTGGTACATGGCAATGGGACAGTATTTCTGGTACATGGCAATGGGAATCAAGTTTAAAAAACTTTGTTTTCAAAATAAACTAACGAGATTTTTTTTCTACTCTCAACAGAACCCAAATTTGATGAAGTTCAGAAGTGATGTGATCACATGTATACGAAGCGTTAGGTTGGACATGTTGAGTTAGTCTGCAGTTATAACTTAAATAAACAGTTCAATGCTAACAGTGTGCACTGGTGTTTTAAATTCAGTTATATAGATTCTTGTTCACCCAATGTGCTTATAAAAGCGTATTACTAAATATTTCATTACAAATTAATATCTTTTATTTTTCTGATAAGCTTTAATTACTCATTAAACAAGTAAAATTTTGGAAAATAATTTAAATAGTCCACATTTCAATCATGACAAATTAGAATGTAACAGTACTCTAGATCAGGGTCCCCAATTCCCAGTCAGTGGACCGGCATGCCAGAAACTGGGCCACACAAACAAGAGAAGCCACATCGTGGGATGCAGATAACATGTGAAACCATACCCCCTCTGGGAAAAAACTCTCTCCATGGAACCAGTCCCTGGTGCCCAAAAGGTTGGGGGCCACTGCTGTAGATGTCTTTTATCCTATTGTGAACTATATGCAATAGGGTTACTTAAATGATTAAAACGTTATTTTTATACACATCAATGATTACTCTTGCTTGGCATCCTTTTCTGGACTCCACATTTTTATAGTCTTTCAAGGGAATACTTGTTTTGAATAAACAAGAGCCATTAAGATTGTAGATAATTTCACCACAAAGTCCATAACTTGCTGATATTGGTCCTTAGTAAATAATTATTTTAAAGATAGTAAGCAAGTCTATAGTATGTCAAGGATGTGGAAAACTGAATATTCTTTACTATCAGTTTAAGAAAGGAGCACATTTTTTAAAAAAAATCTTAAGAGAACAGTAAATGATTCCCCTCCCCTTTAAATGCTGACTTCATTTAGAGAACTGAAGTATGATCACATCATTTATTTTTGAAAATTATATGACTGTCAAATCAGATATTTGAAGGATTTAATATAAAAGAGTTGTCAAATACAGTTTGTGATTTAAGTGTATATGCTTATGTTATTTTTTTACATTTGTTATAAATTTGATTCAATTCAGATCTATGCTACAGTTTTTATTTGTGATTGAAAAAAAATCACAATGTTCCTAGTGCTTTTAAAAATTGAACATTATTTTTTATTCTAGCAAAATGCTGGTAGTACTAAATGATTTGTTGTTTTGTTAGGTGCCCCTATTTTACTCTCAAAGACTGGGATATGTGCAAAATATACCAAAATCTATTGCATTGTTTAACAGTTGGAGATACAAACGCCTGAGTAACATTTCAAAAACAATTTATTTGTATAGATGTATATATATATATATATTTAAAAAGCCAACAATATTTTCTTGAAGTTTTTTCTCAGACAAAAATATATAACAGCCTTCCTCGACTATTAAATAATAAAATAAAAATACGAATGGTGGTAAAGAACCTTTTACCATAATTTCAGTATCAAATATATGATTGGAAGCCATCAAAACCCTTAAAAAATACTTTAACAAAAATGCTTTTAAATAATATTTTGGCTCCATTTTACTGCAAGAAAACCCCCAACTTGAAATAATGGACTGAGTGAATTTTTGTCACTTGTGTTAGGAAGCAGCCTATATATCCTCAGGTAATTCTGTATATTTTTAGCACCCTCAAAATAATACCATTGGATTGTATGGCAATCTTTTTTCTGTGTTTGGTGGAAAACAACTAAAAGATATCATACTATATTTAGGATTCATTTATTTCGATAATCAGTCCCCACCTCAAAAGTAGGAAGTCCAGTCATATAAATAAAAAAGAAAAGTGCAGTCCTTCGTCATTGAGAGGTTGCCAACTCCATTCGGTTCTGCAGTAGATTACACACATTTGAATAAAGTTTCAGACTAAATAAGGACACATTCTTTTATCATTACCTCAGTCTACTCTTGATGAGTGTTATTGTCTTGATCCTAGCCCTACAACAGCAACAAAACATATTTACCCTCAAATCCAAATTAATGATTCAAATTGATAGTAATTTTCAAATCAATTTGTTAGAAATATTTCTGCTTCATAAAATTATCTGGTTATTATAGACTGAGACCAGACTGTTTGCAGTTTTATTTTCCTTCCTTAGCAATTATAGCAGCAGCTTTAGCGGTTGACCTCTAGAGAAAGAGCAAGTCCTCCGTGAATGCCAAAGCCCCAAACTCTGTTTTGGAATAATATGGATAGTTGTTTAAGGCTATTCCAGTCACAGAGTTCTATTCAGAAAAGTGGTTTTATAATTAGCCCCCTTAATTAGGTCAAAGTGCTATGTAATCCAGTTTCTGATCCTAGTGCCTAATGCTTCCATCAACCTCAGTGAGAAGTTAAAGGCAGTAGCCTTCTCCTACATTTGTCTCCACAAACTAATACTCTTATGTAAAAAATGGGAAATAGTACTTACTTATCACAACTGGTAGCCATTTTTAGTCTTATCTTAAATGATTTTTGTCCAATTCTCATTCCATGCCATCCAAGCCAATAGTGGTCACATATTAATTATAGGAAAAATCACAGAAATTAATAATGTGAATACTGTTTTTTGTCTGTATGGAATATTTTCGTCCATATGTCACCAAAAGGCCATGGGAGCTAATGCTGTCAGTGAGAAAACACCAATCTATCCACTTCTTCACAGATTACATAATGTTATAAAGCCTGGTCACGGTCCCAGTGATTTCCTATTTTTTAATTCTGTAAGTCTCAAAACACTGTTCTTATTTAGGAAATGTCTTGATGCCTTCATAAATTTGTTTGCTCTTTCACATACATTTTCCTACTCAAACAGTATCCATTTTGAGATGTAATCAGAACTATACCATTAGTTCACAATTTCTTTACATGTAGATATGTGAAACAGCAATAATATATTTATATTCTGCCAATTATTCCCACTCCTTTTTTAAACAAGCAACATCAGACTAACATTTTTGACAGCTTTTACCACTTTTAGCCATAGAATCTTGAATCTGCCACCAAGTTTTTGTTGTTGCTCCTAACATTGTTTTTACAGAAGAGTTCATCCCTTTGATATTTTCTGCAGCAAATTGTGATCCTCAGAAATCGACTTTCTTTTAAATAATAAAGGACTTGGTGTGCTTGAAATCCTAAAGGAATCAAATAATTAACATAATTCAAACAAGTTTTACTGAAGTTCATGCTGTAGTATTTGTAAACAACCTGTGGTCATGTATGTACTCAACACACTAGGAGAATTATATGCAAGTATACAAAGTATGCTTCTTTATATCAACTTGAAACAAAAGATTATTGACCTGCCTTTCCCACTTCTCCCAAATACATACATATACATATATACTACATACATATACATACATGTGTATGTAATCCCCAAATATAATAATCTACCTGATATTACAAGAGCAAATATTTTACTGCTCAACAAATATTAGGAGCACTATCATGCCTTTCATGTTGCAGAAGGTTACTAATTTGGAAGCATTGTGGTCATTTTTGTAGTAATCTGATGTGTGCATGTGAACTGGATTTAAATCTGATTTAACATGAAAAAGTCAAGATCCATTGGCATGAATCCATAGCTGGTGGCCATTATGATAAATATTACTAGCATCTCCATGGACATCTGCCTAATATTACATTTTCTGTCAGTGATCTTGTATGATAGAAAGATCATAGCAAAAAAGTACATTTTTTTAAAGGTAGACTTTTCATTTATATCATCTTATAAACCTAAACATGTTTGCCATAGCCAATATTGTTACACTATACTGTGTGATAATGATCTTAGGAGAGGACAGGTATCCAGAGTCAAAAACTGCTATGGCTCCTTCAAAACCAACAAATATAGATGGGAAATTATATAAGCTAAATTTATGTTTAAACATAAAATAGCCATCTGGACCTTTCCCCCCCCCCCTCCTGAAATATTAGTGTTCATTTGAAGGGATACCATACTTGATCTTAGTCCAAAGGCTGAGAAACATTTAAAGGGAACTTTTTATGTTGAGGAATATTTAAAATCAAGTCCCATCTTCTTTCCCTACCGATTCCTTCCCCAGACTCAGTAAGAATATATTATTAGGTTCAATTGACTTGTCCAGTTTTTAGCAACTGTACCTTATATAATAGCTGTGTGAAACATGCAGATGAATGCACAATACTCACCTTTTCACTTTCTGTAACTCTGTACTTGGAACTCCTATTCCTGCTCATGAAATTAAAAAAAAATTACATCTGAGCACTTAACTATATCTATCTATCTATCTATCTATCTATCTATCTATCTATCTATCTATCTATCTATCTATCTATCTATCTATCTATCTATCTATCTATCTATCTATCTACGGTATCTATCTATCTATCTATCTATCTATCTATCTATCTCGTGTGTATAAAATGTTTCTATACATATTTCAACTGAGTTTCCCTGAACTAAAACTACTATTTATTAATTGTCTGGATAGTGTATTGATGAAGATATTTTCATGTATAAAACTACACCAATCACCAAATTTTAAAATTTTGGCCTAAAATCTTATTTCTTGTAGCCGTAATAATATCAATATGTACAAAACCCTCATGTTGAAATATTACAGTAAAAATTTCATTTGGCATTTAAATGAATTTGTCTAAATAGAAAATATATGTACTTTAATTATGAAAACAACAGTTACTATTCTTTTAATGAAAGTGAATTATATATTTAGTCCAGTGGCCAAAAACCTTAAAAAAATTATACATATTCAGTGATGAAACTGTATAATGCATAAAGAAAAAGATTGCCCAATGATACTTTACTGTATCCAAATATTTTAAATGGTGTATTAGAAATCACCCCACCCTTTAAATATTTTCCAGCTGTACCAAAATTTAAAGATTACATTTTTCAAAAGGCAATAATGTAACTGAATCTACTGATTCTACTCGATTGCTTCCACAACCCAGTAGAAATTATGATTAACATTTTGGTAGTTCAAAGATGACAATAGACAGAAAGGTAACTGTACTTACATTGAAGAATTCCTTTCTAAAAAAAAATAAGAAAAAATGCAATAAGACTAATACAAGTTGCAAAGTTAATTGCAAAGTTTTTGAAAAAATTAACTAGTACAAGACCATCTAGAGTTGCATTGAAACAGATATTGTATTCTCTCACTGATTTTGGGACATATTCTTTTGTATTTCCTATCAGGCTGCAGTTTCATATTAACATGACTTGCATGGTTGAAAGTATAAACTGCCTTAAGGAATTTCTCTGTGTGAATTTTCCTTGCAGATTGGTGATTTTTATCTTCTTTCTAAGGGATAGGTTTATTTATTTATTTATTTATTGAATTTATTGAATTATGTTCCAAGGTTAACTTGGAACATCCCCTAAATAATCTGAAGGAGTTTATTGAGCATCTGCTCTTTACCTAGTATGGATTGCTTTGCCATGGAATTATAAGTAGCTAGTGGTCTTAGCAAACCTATTCATAGCTACTTTCTTTTCTAGATGTATTATGTGTCTGAGTAGAAAAAACAAGTTTTTTTAAAAAAAATTATGGTGTGCTATGGAAATGCTAAAAAATACAAACTTCTTTTGATCAATTATGAAAATATTCAAAACCACAATAGGGCAATACTTCTTAGAAATAACTACAATATTACAAAATAATGAACATATTTTCAGAAATTGACAGAATCTAGAGAAATATTGAGAAAGAAGACAAGATTAGGACAAAGATTTACACACACACACACACACACACACACACACTGGAATTAAGACATTGTTAGATTTCTCCTGCCTGCTCTCTCAAAGAATAATGGCTCTGTATTACTGCTAAGAGTCCAAATTGTTCTCTTCTTTTTGTGGCTCATTGTTCCTGTAAGAGTAAGGCATGCAGAGCGCAAGAGCTGACCAGCTGCTCTGCTGAAAGTGAAGTGCATTTTATTTTAGCAAAATCTTCTGTAAATGAGTGTGCTTTTATTGTAATCCAGCAGAGGGAGTTAACTATTAAAATTCTGCAAAGATTAAACCTGCTGTCTAAACATCACTCTTTGCGTAAACATCAGAGTGCATCAGTTTTTAAATTACTAGTACTATATGCATAATTGCATTTTATAATACAGAATGTACCTATTAAGAGTTCTAATTCAGATTGAATTCCAAAAAGGTATCTAGGTATACATGGGGGCACAATTGTAGCAGAATCTGCTACAGTATTCAATTTAGCAGACATAATCTTGGGGAAATTGCAGCTGCTCTAAAGATTTGCAATGAAGTTTTGTAATCATGCTTAAAGAAGCAAAGTGTCAGTCCAGCTTTCCTGGACTTCCACAAGAGTTTAAAAACTTGGCTCTAATAATTGACTTGGGGCTCTAATGGAGGGGTTTCACAATGGGGGTGACTGATAGATTAATAACATATCCCACCTCTCCCCTTCTCATCTTACTCCCTCCCTTCCCATCTTTTAATTAGGGCTGAACATTTGGATTTTTATAGTATTTATATTGTCTGTAAGTTTTCTATAGTTTTATCTTTTTAATATTGTAAGCCACCCAAAATTACCTTCTGGTAGGATGAATACCAATAAATTAAATTTAAATACATACATACATACATACATACATACATACATACATACATACATACATACATACATACATACATACATACATACATCTTTTCAGAATTGTTTTTAAAGTACTGCACAGTCCTACTTTCTATACTGTGCATGGGCTGTTTTTAGAGCTAAATTTGCCAAATAGTTCTATGATTTTCATAATTCTGATAGCCTCAAATATAGAGACACTACAATAGCAATTTAGCCATTTCTTTCCAATGTGAATACTGTCAGTCCTAAAGGAATCTTTATTTTTATGGAGCTCATTATTCTCTAGTCATGTAGTTCCTCAATAATAGTAGTAACACAGAATCTGCCTGAGTACAAGGAAGTGTCTCACAAGTTATCAAAGGTACATTAAATCTAATTGTACTTAATTAGTGAAAAAGAATATAAATTCTGTTGATTCTCCAGCCAGAAAAGGATCAGTTATCTTTGTGTTTGTGTGTGCGTGTTTGGGGGTGAATGGGTTGTCAACATCATCATCTAGTCCTTATTTTAGTATACGCAATGAATCCAGTGCACATAAAAATGGGTGGAATTTTGAACATCCAGTTATGTGCATCATTTTTATTCCCTCCTATCCTCCACAAAGGCTTCCACTTCTGTTGTACTAATTGTAACCACAATTCACAAACAGGTAGGCAAAGAAATATTTTTAATACTTCAAAGAAAGGGTAAACTCTACTTACTTGAAAAATAACCCTTCTTCTGTGCATAATATACCCCAAGACCACAGGAAGCCATTATTAAGGCCACAATAACCACCGAAGCTATGATAGCACTTACATTAAGGTCATCTAAAATTCAAAACAAAATAAATATATTGGGAAGGGGTGCAATACCCAGAGTAATTATTTCAAGTAAGTCATCTTGAGAGAAGGCAACAATGACTAACATTCAATCTTAAATGAGAACATTAAATAAAAACTTTACTCATATGTTGTTGCATGTAAACAATGACAGTTCAATTTTCACTATGGTGATGAGCTTATTTGAGTGGCCTTATCTCTAAGCTTCTGTCTCTGTGTTCTTATCTCCATAATTCTCCAATAAGTTAATCACTGAAATTCTTCAATACTATAGCCATTGAAAACAATTGTTACAAAGATGAATGGAATGAGGTCTGTGAAGTCTTAAGTCTGTAGTGAAATCACTTTGAAGAACGCTTTAATTTTTTTTCCAGTTTTCTTCCCTTGTGAACATCTTACAGAACAACTTATGTTCTGTAGGATTTAGCTATGAAGAGAGCAAGACTATAGGACTCATTATATTCTCACTTCTTCTAAAAAGGCTTCATTCTAAATGTTAGATGCCAAGTGAATGTGGTTGGAAATAATGTGAGACCAAAATAGAGAACTGCCACAACAATAAAGATAGAATTTAAATGGTCACTATACTAAACAAATAATAGATTCTTCTGGCAGGAGCCAATCAATATTTCCATGAGATCTAGAATACATGACTGAAAACTTAGCAGATAGGATAACGTACTCATATATGCATTTATTCCCTTTGCCAAATACTTTTTTCTGGGTCTAAATACTATTTAAACTACCATCTAAATACTGCCATATAAGATTATGCTATAAACAGGATTTAGCTGCCATTACATTCATGAAAGTACAGGATATATTTTGCTGCTTTAAATATAGCACAAAGCCAACATACAAAGAAAGAGTATTTGACAATTTGAGCATATTTTCCTTTAGTCCTTATAGGGGTACAAAGAAAGATTCTGACAATGTAGACATTTTCATATGGGGAAAAAACTTTGATATCCTGTTCCCATTGCTAGATGATTTGTGTACCTTTGAAGTATTTGGATTTCTATTTAAAAATAAATAAATTTTATCTTACTTTATGATTTAAAGGAATACAGATCCATGTTCAAAATTATCAACATTTAGGTCCTCCCCTTTCAAGATGGCTGATGCACGGTAAGAGGTTTTTTTTTCTTACCGACAATCTGCTGATTTCACTGCTAAAGCTGGTTCTTTGCCAGTGCTGCTCCCTGGTTTTGAATGGGAGCACTTAGTAGTGACCCAAGACAACCTTTGGATGATTGTGTACCTAGTGAGCAAGGGGGGAGGGATCTTGAAGATCCCAATTCCCTCTGGAAGTGATCAAAAAGTCATTGGGCGTATCCATCTTCCTGTCAAGCATTTTGTTTTCTAAGCATGCTGGAATTTTAACTTTTACTTTTTGATTTCACTGTTTTATTTTGCTTGTTTTAAAAGTTTATTAACAGTTGGCAGCTGATTTATCTCAACCCCTTGTGGACTCTAATTGCTTTTTCTCTTTTTTTCTTTGATATATGTTGTTTTGGATAACCCTTCCGTATAGAAAGCACAGTAATGTTCAGCAGGGGAGTGAATAGTTCTCAGACTCTCACCACTGGATTCTGTATTTTTTGAATTTGTAAAACACCTGTTTATTTTCACTGAACTTTTCTTATAATCTTGGACTGAAATATAGAGGCAAACATTGGGGGGTTTTTTTGTTCTTTGTTCCCTGGCTAAGTTTCACAGATTAAGATGGCTAAACAGTCTCTAAAATCTAAGAAAGAAGAGTGGGGAGATGTGAAACTTCTCTCTGGAAAACTTGATCAAATTTTAATGATTGTTAAAAGAATATTAAGATCCGAAGTTTTATCTTTGGATGTGGGATGAAGATACACAAAAGGACTTGGATCCAGTTCCAGATCAAAGGGATAGTCTCAAGGCTGGAGAACCAGCAAAGTAGATTTCATCTGTTCTGAAGTTTAAATCTGCACATTCTTTTAATGTTATGGCTTTGACTAAAAAGGAAAGAGACAGATTCCAGACCTCTACGAAGTCTGAGGGAGAGTGGCGGATTTATTAGAGTTAATTGGCAATTACTTCTGCTTGCACTTTGATCGGAACATAGACCTATTTTGGAGACTGAAATAATGTCTTTTTTATTGATGCAGCTTTTTAATGCTTTGTTTTGTGTTTTTTTCCTTTTTTCCCCCTTTTGAATTTTTTTTTAGTTCTGTATTTTGTATTTTAACTTTGTTTTGAATAAAATAAAACATGTAGAATAAAAAAAAAACATTTGCTCACTTGTTCACACATTCTAGTACCAATTGGTATGTTCAATAAAAAAATTAATATAGTACAGGTAGTTCTCAACTTACGATCACAACTGAGCCCCAAATTACCATTGCTAAGGAAGGCAGTTATTAAGTGAGTTCTGCTTCATTGTATGACCTTTTGTCAGTTGTTAAGTGAATCACTGCAGTTGCTAAGTTGATCGTGTGGTTGTTAAGTAAATCTGTCTTTGCTTATTGGAAGCCAGCTGGAAAAGTTACAAATGCTGATCACATGACCCTGGGACAGAGCAACTGCCATAAACACGTTAGTTGCTAAGTGCCTGAATTTTGATCACATGACTGTGCGGATGCTACAACAGTCATAAGTGTGAAAATAGAATAGAATAGAATTCTTTATTGGCCAAGTGTGATTGGACAACAAGGAATTTGTCTCCAGTGCATAAGATATCAATGTACATACAAGCAACAAGTGATATATCATGATCATAATCATAAAATACAAGCATCATAAAACATGAGACACAACACTTAGTGATAGTCGTAGGCAGTGGTGGGATTCAAGTATGTGAACAACCGGTTCTCTCTGTGGATGCCACTTCTGGAAGTCCGTTCTGGGCCTGGGCAACAAAAAATTAGCTACCAGTTCTGGCAAACTGGCTGAATCCCACCACTAGTCATAGGATACTAAATAAAAGCGATCAAGATAAATCATAAGATACAAACAGTGAAGTTATAGTAACTTCATAGGTAGTAGGAGAGATGAGAAGGATAATACAGCTCTGCTACATGGTTTGATATCCAAGGGCATGTGAGAATTTTAGCAGAGTGACGGCATGGGTGAAAAACCTGTCCTTGTGTCTAGCTGTTTTGGTGTGCAGTGCCCTATAGCGTCATCTTGAGGGAAGAAGTTGAAACAGTTTATGTCCAGGATGTGAGACCCTGTCTTCTGTAGATATTTTCACACCAATCTTTCTGGAGTATACAGATCCTCAATGGAAGGTAGGCTGGTTACAATTGGTTTTTCTGCAGTCCTATTTATCCATTGAAGTCTGTGTCTGTCCTGCTTGGTTACTGTGACCAGATAGTTATTGAAGTACAAATGAGACTCAATCATTTCTCTGTAGAACTGTATCAGCAGCTCATGAAGCAGTCTGAGCTTTCTGAGTTGGCGTAGGAAGAACATTCTTTCTTGTTGCTTTGTTGCTTTTTTAATGACATTTTTGATGTTAGGTGTCCATTTCAAGTCCTGAGAGATTATAGAACCCAGAAACCTGAAGGTCTTTACTGTTGATACTGTGTTTTCTAATATTGTAAGAGGTGGTAGAATAGAAGGGCTTCTCTTAAAAACTACTATCATCTCTACAGTTTTGAGTATGTTCAGTTCAAGCTTGTTCCGGCCATCCCACAGGGCCAGTTGTTCAACTTCCTGTCTGTATGCAGGTTCATTATCATATCAAATGAAACCAATGACTGTTGTATCATCTGCAAACCTCAGTACTTTAACAGAGGGATCCTTTGAGATGCAATCGTTAATGTATAGAGAAAAGAGTAATGGAGAGAGTACACAGCCCTGGGGGGGCACCTATTCTAATTGTTCGGGTATCTGATGTGATTTTGCCTAGCTTCAACTGCTGCTTCTTATATGTTAGAAAGTTTATGATCCACTTACAACTATGGTCAGGCACAGCTAGCAGAGTCAGTTTAGTAAGAAGAATATCTGGAATAATGGTATTGAATGCTGAACTGAAGTCTACAAAAAGGACCCTTGCATAGGTCCTTGGAGATTCAATACGTTGTAAGATGAAGCACAGTGCCATATTAACAGCAACATCTGCCGATCTATTTGCTCAGTAGGCAAATTGAAAGGGGTCTATTAGCAGATCCGTGATGGTTTTCAGGTGGGCCAGCACTAACCTTTTGAAGGTTATAAACTGGTCATAAGTTACTTTTTCAGTGCCATTGTAACTTCAAAATGTCAGTAAATGAACAGTTTTAAGTAGAGGACTACTTGTAATGTGTTAAGATTAGTATTCATTACCCTAAAATTTAGTTGATAGAAATTCTGTGTACAAGTCTCAGACTTAAAATAAGATTGGTACTTACAAAATGTAAACTGTAAGCTTGTTAAAATAATGCCTTTAAAAAAAATTAAACTGATTCTGGACAATAAATCCTCTTTGTCTTATAATGATGACAATTTCATATAAACATTTTCTGGCCTTATTTGCATTTGATATTTACCAACTTGCATCCTCTTCACAGGACACCTTTGAGGCCGTCCTACTTTATTGTAAGCTTCACAGTAGTATTCCCCAGTGTCATTCTTTGAAACAGGATTGAACAGCTAGTTTAAAAGAAAATACAGCATGTATTCATGAACAATTAGTCCATAAATGTCCTATATATTCCTTTGCATTATTTAAAAATATTTAAATATTTACAATATCAACATTTTCCAGTACTGAAAATGCTTAATTCATCAATATGTAAAACCTTTCTAAAATAACTAAATTCCTCAGTGTTGTTCCCATTTTTACATCAATTTATTCCCAATTATTTAATTCAAAATGCATTTTTTTCTTCATAACTGAGCTTGCAATTAAAAAAAATATTCATGATGTGAACTGTTTTGGCAGTTGGCTTTCCTTTTTTTGTTATTGTTATTTCTACAATTCCATTTTGCATTTCCTCAGTGTTGCTGTAATATAGTCTGAATTGTTTTGTGGACTGGAAAGTCACACACTAAGTGTCATTAAAGAAATGCAAACTTACCAAGGTTCCTGTCGTAGAATTCAAAGTATAAGAAATGTTCCTTTTTTTGAACCTCCAAAAAAATGGGTTCTCAGGCAGAATAGCACCATTCCGATACCATCTGTATTTTGAAGCTGGCACACCTTCACTTTCTTTGCATCGCAGTTCTACTACTGTCCCACTCAGAGCTGAAATGGGCACTTCACAAACAGGAGCAGATGATGGCACTAGAAAATTATGTCATATATCTAAGACAAATACCCGTATTTCTAAATCTGAATATTTTTTCACAAATTACTCAAATGAAAGTTTGAATGGTATGTGTGGGTGTTTATATAGAGAACATGCATGCATGCATTATTTATTTATTTATTTATTTATTTA